CCATAGCAGTTACAACTAATCAGTCACATGCAATAGTGAACAACCAATATTTTTCAATTGAACAGTCACGTCCAAAAGCCACCAAACACACTACAAAATGAGGTTCAAATTTCTTACACCTCTTCACTTATTTTCTCACTCATTCTTAACCCTCTCGCTCTCTTTAAACTAGCACTCTCTTGCTATCTCTATTATAAGGCTACTCTGGTGTATATAATAGGTTTCTCATTCATTTGCATAAAACTGAGAAGTGCATTGAGACCCTCTATTTTCCTGAATACCAAGGACAACTTCGCCCATTTTGATACACATTGTTTACACTATACAAATAGGGCAAATATTGTGTTAAGAAAGTGCTATTGTGCGCCTGAAACGAGAACGATTTTGCATATTTTTCGGCCCCTATTCTCCCAACATTATATTTAACAGTTGGATTGTGGATCTAATATAGTATTATGAGGTAGCATCGAGCGTCTGAACAACTAAATATTTTCCTTTTAATTTTATTTGACAAATAAGTTTTTCATGAAATTTGAAGTGTGCCCACTTTCTCTAGGATCACACCTAATAAATATAAGAAAAAATAGTTTTGATAAAATGATCAAAATACATTTACAACTTGTAGGGTTATTTTTGTCATTTTATGGTATGAAAGCTATCTTTTTATTTTTGTTAGATGTTCTCCTAATAACAAGCAAGTGCCCAACAAATTTCATGTTAAGATGATTTCTATAATAAAAATATAAATAAAAACAAAACTAGACAATTTAACAAACCCTCTATTAAGAAACAGTTTGGGTGGTGGAACATATAAATGGTTCCCTAAAGGCTGGAAGGGGCAAAACTAATGTATTCTCCTTGTAGGGGTGCTTGGTGCCTCAACTGTGATTCTCAAGGTTAGAAAAATCTGAATTGGACCCTATATCGCTGGGGGACAGATTTGAATCAACCAATCTAACTTGGGCAGTTCTCAGTTCGGATAGTCATACACATACATTAAAAACAACAAAAATAAAAACCAGGGAAATCAGGCAACTCTGTGGTCCTCCAAAATTGTGCATCCATTGAAGCCAAGCCAATTCGGACAGGGTGATTCATTTCAAAAACCTACCTGCTCATTATGCGTAGAAGTTAGAACAAAGATAGTAGAATCATTGAGAGACTTCACTTTCTATCACATAACTCAGATAGCAAATTGAGCATATAAATACTCATCATCCAGTCTTGGTTTTGTATTTCAAGCATTTCTAAAAAGACTCATTGTACAAATCACTGTGATAATCTAAGTAAAACAAAAGAAATAACGTTTAAACTTTATTTTAGGCTTGCTTGATTGGAATCCGTAAATTATACTTTTCCAATCCAGGAAAGGAGGAAATAGAAATATGTAAGCCGTTTCGGATCAACCATTAAAGATTAAAATTTGTTACGTGTGCATAGTAAAGCCATTTCGGATCAACCATTAAAGATTAAAATTTGTTACGTGTGCATAATAAACCTTCTATGTAGATTTTCTATCTAAACCACTCAAAATCCTAGTTTTCCATAAAATAAACACCAGAAAATCATTTGATGGTTAATGGATCTAGTAACCATAGTTTTGGGTCAATGATTTTTCATTTGCTACTATTTATTAGCAAGATCTCACCCTTCAAGTTTGGTCTGGAGATGTTGTTTTTACGTATGTATGTAGGCCCTCTTGGGGAGAGAACCGCAAATTATGTCGAACTCTATGCACTTTTGCATGGCTTACGATTTTTTGTGGCAAGAATCTATGACCTTACTATATTATTGAAGGTGAATCATTGAATATCATTAATCGGTGTAAAGGGGAGCAGAAGTCGCCTTGAGAGTTGAGATCTGTGTTACTATAGATTTTGGACATATCTAGACCTTTTAACTTTTCTTTTGTGCATGTTTATCGCAAAGCCAATGTATTGGCTGATTTCCTTATCAAAGGAGGTACTTTCTTATCTGAGACAGTTGTCTCTGACTTTGTAATCTCGTTTTAGTTTTAATATAATATTGGAATTCTTATAAATAAAAAAAGATCTCTCCCTTCAAGTTTGATATCCTACAAATAAGGTTGGCAATGAGTCACCTAGCCCAGTCGGGATAGGGCGGAAGCAGCCTTAGTCTAGATCCAACTGAGCCTACACACTGCCAAGCCTAATAGATTTAAAGGAAGAAAAAATAATGAAATAAGGAAAACACAAGGCTAGGCCCAGCTCGAGTAGATGGTGCTAGCCTGTCGGAGCTCTAGATCAGCCAGGCTCGAGTCATATTTTGTGGTGACCAAATGACACATGCAAGAAAACCTTCTTAGATTCATAGAGATATAGAACAACATGTAAGTTATCATTCTTGCATATCCATCATTTGAATCTCCAACAATTATGCCAATAATTATATATCTGATTTTACGTATGGACGAATATGCAATCATATGTTTCATGCTTGTTTGAGTAATAACAATGAGACTCCCCAATATCATACTAAAAATAGCTAGGATTTCAAGAGACGAGAAATATAAAGGAATATCAAAAATTCAAGTGGCTAAAACTGAAGCAGCTACTTTCGAAGTAACAGACAGAAAAACAATGACTAGAGTGGGGGAGTCAGCGGCCAAAAGATGATTCCTCACTTCTTTGTCTCATTCTAAACTGTGCATGAGACTTTTATCTCGCACAGCTCCTAAGTGATAAAAAAAAGAAGAGTTCTTTTTTCTTTTTTGATTACCTTCCTCACGTATGTATAAGTTATATTTTGTGGCCCATATCCTAGTTTTCGAGGCCAAACCCTGATACCTCAGGGCCAAGCAGACCCGCTACTTAATTCCTTTCTTGCCCAACCAAGAATATGTCCAACTTTTGTTTTGAGGCTTTGCTTGCTTTCATAAGTACTCTTGAGATGCAAGGTATTAACTTTGTTTTTATAAGCACTCTTTCAATAAAAGTTCTCAATTTTGTCAAAAAAAAAAAAAAGATAGTAAATTTTAACTTAACAAGTCTCGTTCATTTTGTAGAAAGTTATGACATGAAAAGCACAGAACGTCATATTCCCCAACGGCCTTCCACTCTTTCTAGTGGCCCCTCTTTTCCTCTCCTCTTTCTTTTCGTTTTTCAAATTTTTCTTATTTGATTAACTTGGGCGTGCATGTACAAAAGCTTGTCAATGCTTACATTTGAAAATTCAAACCAAAACACCAAAAAAATAAATATCATGTGCTAGCATTGGTAAAAGTGTATATAGAGCCAAGGCTCTAAACAATCAAATTAGAGCCTACCTCAAAATTTTCACTAGAAGAGGTTGTTTTGATGCTCAAATTGATCATCTCAACATCAAGATGCATGGAGATGAGAAAAAAATGGATTTCAAGTTTTCGAAATAGTGTATTCTATAAGACATTTTTGGATTGTCAATTTTCAAGATTTTCAAACTTTCATAGATCTGTCGATCTACACTATTTTTTAAGCTTTAAACTTTATAAATAAAGATGAAAATATATTTTATGGATATCACAAAGATTTCCAGCATTGAAACCACATTTCTCAATATTATTTGAAGGTAGGCTCTAATTTGATTGTTTAAAGCCTAGGCTCTATACAAACCACACCAACCAGCATTTGAGTTATAAACAGTTTCATTGCACCTCCCCAACCGTTGGATTTGAACAGGGATGGACAAGGGGCTCTAGTCAAAATCCATCAAAACACCGTAGGATTTGGACAGGAATGGACAGGGGGCTCTAGTCAAAATCCATCAAAAAAACCTCAATTGGACTTTGAGAGGAAGCACAAACCCCAATCATCCGTTATCAACATCAGGTTATAGGGAGGACCTAGGAAATTATTAATGATATCAACGTATGCAAATCCATATCTCACATGTTATTTAGAAAACGGATTGGTAGAGTAAATAAATAGCACACGCCAATCTCAATCCAGATCAGCGGGACCAGTGATTCTGATGAGCCAGATCAACAATCTGGCCCAAACAAAACAAAAAAGAGACATTAAATATAGGATGACGTTAACATGTGGCCAGCCCGCATATTGTAGAAATGCGGGCTGGGCCATAAATATATATTTTAAATATAGTTTGATCATGAAAATCATGAATCTGAAAAAATAAATAAATTTTGAAACCTAAAAATACTAATTATATTAAAAAAAAAATTTGGACCATTAGTTACAATTATTTTTAGATGAACCACCTATTTACATCCATGATGCTTTATGCCCCTCAAACATGGACCCCATATTGTATAAATTCGGTCTAGCCCCACATGGAATAGCCCGAAAATAGCCCGTTATTACCTGAAAAGACGGATCCCTGAATATTTATTTTATTTTTTGCCAAGTTTACTCTCAACTTGATTTTTCAAACCTCAAACCACTTGGTAACCTTAATTTTTTATATTTTTTATCAAGTTTTCCCCTAATCCAATGCTTTAAACATCGAACCACATTCTGTTGAATTTTGTAAGTTAACCAAGCGATCCAATGTTAGAACCATCGAACCGCATTCTATTGAATTTTTTTAAGTGAACCAAGGATTTGATAAAAAATCCAAAGGCAAACTTGACAAAAAATAAAAAATATTCGAGTTACCAAGCAATCCGATGTTTGAAAAATCGGATGCTAAAAACTTAACGAAACTCATGGATCCATCATTTCAGGTAATAAAATGCTATTTTCAAGTCATTCTATTATAACGGTATAAAAACTCAGTCCGTACATAAATTTCCCCCAAAAAAAAAAAGAAAAACTTCTTAAAGAAATTGAACCTTCAACCATGCATTGATAGGCCCATAATCTAGCCAACTGGGCCATTTAACATTTTTGTTATATAATACATTATTATATCATATAACGAAATTGCCTTATCGATGCTGACCAGAAATCATCATGATCACTATTGATCTCCGATCTGGCAAATCTCGATCGGCAAATTTTCAATCATTGGTTTAAAGTCTTCTCATTTGGAGCATGTGCCTATAGGCATGAACTATGCAAGTATACTAAACAAGCAACACCAAGTGCGCAAATGCTCATGTGACAGCTAGATATAGGAAATGCAATAAAGAAAATTATAAAGAAATGTATATTTCAGTGACTGTGGAGCCTATCCTAGTATATGCTCTAAAATGTCAGCAAGAGGCAATAATGATATTGGAACGTCATTCACAACATGATTTGGCAGAATTTGGCGGCATCGTCCCCTCCCTCTGAACCTTTGAGCTGTGGAAATCATTACCCTGAAACGTGATCTCAGAATTCCTGTATTGACATCCAAAGGCAGTTCCAAAGCCCCAACCAAGGCCAAGTCCAACTCCACAACCTCCCCCTTCAAGAAAGGATTCCAAAGCATCAAGTGAGAAATACATATCTGGTTTCCCTTGCTATTAAAGCACTGTTTGCAGTTTTACGTTCTTACCCATGCCCAGCCCCAAGATATTCAAAGGCACACCTGAAGGACACATAGATCAGCAATAAGTCAAAGATAGTTCCATGCATCTTCAAAGTTATAACTACGATGCAAGCACCCAAAGGAATAAAAAATAAATGGAAAAACTTATGCATTTTAACAGAAGGAAGTACATATGATTTCATGAGAAGTTACCGATAGTCTTCTTGGATATGGAAAAAAAAAATTGGTAAGGATTCCTCAACAGTTAACACTAAAGAACTCTATAAACATTTCTAAGCTCTATGACACTAATGTTTGAGAGCAATGGTTCTCACAATAATCTTAGAAAACTCATCTGCAAATTAGTTTATATTCAAACAACACAGACACTCAGAGCAAATTTAGGACTTGAATCAGAATGAAAATCCCTAGGGCTGCATCTGGAGCATAAGAACGGTTCTCTCCCATACATCAATGCTACAGCAAGAGATCACAAATTCCTCTAACTTCCTGAACGAGTTGTCCCTGGTTGGCTGAATTTCCTCAAATAACACAAATTGTTTGTTCATTACGCTAAATGGGAGAAAAATAATATGGGTTTCTGTATTTTTTTGTTACAATTGCAGCTTTTTTTCTCTTTGCTTTTCAAATGGAAAACAGTAAATATGCAACAATTCAGCCACTTTGACTACATGTGGACTTGAGTTGTCTTGACATATCAGCTCAAAGTATTTTCTCGAACTCCTGTGTAACTTCAAAGCATGGACCATGTTTATTAAAATTAACAACATGAGAGTTCAGGTTCTACGAGTCAGTCTCAGACTTTGCAGCTTGAGGTCCAGAGTTCAATGTGAATGTCATTCTACTACAGATGCTGCCAGGATGTAGAGTAAAATTTTTGGGTTTAAGATGTTACTTGTGTAACCTCTATACCTCAGAGAGCCCAGTCTATAGATATTAAACATAAGCACTACCAAAGTATGCTGCAAATCAATGTGCTTAGATAATTGGCAAGTGTAATGTGTTAGGTTCTACAATGCAAGGTAAGTGGGTTATGGAAAAGAACGAGAAATCCATTCACATTCAGGAGAAGCATTTTTTTGGTTGGGGCTGACTGTAGGATACCGGCTCTCATTATTGTACTAGTTGGTTGGGGCTGACTGTAGGATGCCAGCTCTCATTATCGTACTACAATAAATCCTTGTGACTGCAATTTTAAGACTAACCATTGTGAAATGCAGAAAAGAAGAATGAGTAACTAACCCCCAAAACCCCATCCAACTCCAAAACCACAACCAATGCCAAAACCTGCACAAGAATGGAGTAATGGTCATTAAGAGAGAAGACGTGTAATTCATTACCATACCAAACCAAAAAATCAACAAATTTCACCACTGTCCAAACTGACATACCAAAACCTACACCACTGCCGTTGAAGTTTGTGAGGACCATTTTGTATAGCAATGCTTCAGGCCTTTCTTCACAGGAATACCAGCACTCAAGAACCAGGAATAGACAATAAATACATTAACATTTAGATCTGTAAGATCATTATCAAAAAAAAAAAACATTTCGATCTGTAAGATCTCTCAATAGCAATAAAAGGATTACAAGAAGAAATGAACAGGGTGAACATTAATGTATGGTCCCCTCTGATGCACAACATTCTTCGTAATGATCATCATGAAAAATGAACATAATTTCACAAACAGGACATTAGATTTATTCACTGTTTCAGCAACAAAACATATGAAGATGTATGAAGAAATCTAGGCTCCACGCAGTAGCCTTATGACAGTCCAATGTCAATTCCAAACCTAATACAAGCAAATAGAACCACAAGTTTAGAAAAGGAGAAAATAGTAGGCCATCATTACGTTTACAACATGAAGTCCAAGAACCATGGCAGCAATGTTCAAAAATGCGGATTCGGCCGCCTAGGCATTTTGAGTGCCTAATTGCCTAGGCCACGGTTTTTGGGGGGGTTTTCTCACCCTAAAGGCCACAGTTTTTGTTTTGGGGGTTAAAAATACCTCCTAAAACCCTTTTCCCCCTCAGCGAGGTTTTTTTCCGCTCGTCCGTAAAGTGTCACGGGTGGCGCCCAGATAGCAGCGCCTAGGTGGCGCCTTGCCTGCCTAGGCAGGAGCCCAGAGACAGGGCGCATAATGACCTCACCTAAACAGCAACTAGGCGTTTTTTAAATTTTTTCGCCTAGGTGGTCGGGCGGATGAATTTTCGAACACTGTGCGGCAATTAGTAATACGTGTCAGAACAACGAATTAGAGGAAAAAACTCAAAATAAGTCTCAATTTAGTTAATAAACAAAGCAAAAACATGTGTGCGTCAAAAGAAAAGATAAAAATATAAAATCTCAATTAGACAAGTAAAATCACATTCTAAGATCTTCCTGACCAAGGTTTCAAAAAACACTAGGAAGCCCTAGGCGACCAGCCTAGCGCCCAACGCCGAGCCCCTTGGGCGCCCCCTGTAGTACAAGTTCTATATATATATATATATATATATTTGTGTCAATTTTGCAATTTATGCATTTGAAAATTTTGTACTATTGTAACATTGTTTCTTATATACAAACATATGAAATATTGCATATTGAGAATCAACTTTTTCAAAATTTCAAAATTCAAACCATAGAAAATTTAAAACTTTAATAGGATATATATTATTAAGAGTCTCCAACTCTCTATATTACATAATAAGTGAAAAAGTTTAGAATGCTTCTTCAAACAGCAGAAAATACTTTTGATTCTCAAAAAAAGGTATAGCTAAGACATTAAGGGTTTAGGGAATTGTTCTTTTAACTTTAGGTTGAAAATATTCCCTATAAACCTTTTTCGGAGTCAAAATTATCCCCTTTTCCACCTAGCCCACCTGGAAACCCACCTAGGCGCCCGCCTGACCCACTTGGGCGCCCGCCCAAGTACATCCATCTGTGTTGGGCCGCATGGGTCTGGGCGTGCATTGTTTTGGTCTAAGGTACCAAGGCGCCGGGCGAACCGATTGTTGAAAAACTGCCTTCAGCAGGGTCTATAGTTCCCTGTGAAACTGCTTAAAAAATGAACAGAAGAAAGAAAACTTTATATGTTCATAAGCAAAGCAGTGACACACACTTCCTGAATAAGAAGACACTAAAACAGCAGACCCAGTTGCAACAACAGAAAAAGACACCAATAGAGAATGCAAAGAACATGCCTACGCTTACAATATAAAATCCAAGAAGAGTTATGAACAGAGTTTTAAAAATTGGCGATCCAATCCAGAATCGAGTGATCCGCATCAGGTATCGTCCAACCGGTTTTAGATCTGGTGAAAAAACCAGTGGTTTAAAACATGGATCGATGCCTCGGATCGGGTACCCCAAAAACCCATCCAGATCGGTGAATCGATGCTTCGGATTCCGCAATAAAAAAATACAAAAATATTATTAAAAATCATTATGAATGTTGTTTTTAAGGAATCCAATAAGAAATTGGGGTACTGCATTTTTAACTTTCACTTTTTTCCATCAATAATTGAATATTGAGATGTTCTTTCCCAGTATGAACTTATGTTAAGTTAACATTAATATAGTATTGTTTTAATTATAATATAGTATTACTATAATCTAGGTATTTGTATAACTATTAATTATAATATAATATTATAATATTACACCAAAATAATTTAAAAATATTAAAAAACACTTCCATATAATTTAAAAATAATTTTAGTGTATATAAAAATAATTATATTGATATAAATTTAACATAATTATATTAAGTTATTAACATAAATAAAAAACAATTTCATGTAATTATGTTAAAAGTAAATTATTATATGGAATTTTATTTTTGTAATTATATGTAATTAAAGATTAATTATATGCACTTTATGCTTGTATATTAGAAAAAATAAATAAATATAATTAATCTTAAAAAAGATTAAATCTTAAAAATAAATAAATACAATTAATCTTAAAAAGAATTATAGACCATTTCATTTGATAGATGTCCTTTTATAAGAGAGAGATCTATTTATAAAGCATTTAATTTATACATCATGGTACATATGAGAGAGAGCGCTATTTATAAAAGGGTTTAAGTGGTTGTGCACTGCAAAGGTTGTGCATTGAATTATCCCACATCGAAGCTTTAAAAGCGAATTCACTATTATAAAAAGTTTGTGGCGCATGCAACTTAATGTAATTGCGTGACTGGGACGTGTTTGACATACAATGGCAACTGACAATTGCGGGAAATGTGGCAACATAAGCCCCCAATTTTGAAAAAATTTCAAGAGTTACCCTTGTACATAATTAATTTGTGCATCTTATACTTTATATAAATTCCAAAATGATCAATGCAAAACGATTCATGACATCATCAAATCCGACTTATGACGTCATCTAGTGTTTTTCTAAAACAACAGGCCGGATCCCCTCTTTTCCCCAAATCCGGAATGGGATGGGCGATACCCGATCTGGATTGCCCGATTCCAGATCAAATCGCCGATTTTTAAAACACTTAAAAAAAGGGGATCCAACCGGTTTTTTAAAAAATACGCTCGATGACATCATAAGTCGGATTGAGATGTCATGAATCGTTTTGCATGGATCATTTTGGAATTTATATAAAGTAAAGGGTACACAAATTAATTATTTACAAGAGTAGCTTTAGAAAATTTTTTAAAATTGGGCGCTTATGTTGCCACGTTTCCTGCAATTGTTAATTGCCATTGTATGTCAAATACGTCCTAAGTTGCACACGCTACAAACTTTTTATAATAGTGAATTCGCCTTTAAAGCTTCGATGTGGTATAATTCAATGCACGCCCATTGCAGTGCACAACCACTTCTTAAACCCTTTTATAAATAGCGCTCTCTCATATATACAATGATGTATAAATTGAATGCTCTATAAATAGATCTCTCTCTTATAAAAGGACATTTATCAAATGAAATGGTCTATAATTCTTTTTAAGATTAAATTTATTTATTTATTTTTAAGATTTAATATTTTTTAAGATTAATTATATTTATTTCTTTTTTAAAATATACAAACATAAAGTGCATATAATTAATCTTTAATTACATATAATTACAAAAATAAAATTCCATATAATAATTTACAAAAATTAACGTAATTACATGAAATTGTTTTTTTTTATGTTAATAACTTAATATAATTATGTTAAATTTATATCAATATAATTATTTTTATATACATAAAAATTATTTTTAAATTACATGGAAGTGTTTTTTAATATTTTTAAATTATTTTGATGTAATATTATAATACTATATTATAATTAATAGTTATACAAATATCTAGATTATAGTAACACTCTATTATAATTAAAACAATACTATATTAATGTTAACTTAACATAAGTTCATACAGGGAAATAACATTTCGATATGCGCATATTGATAAAAAAAATGAAAGTTAATAATGTAGTACCCCCATTTCTTATTGGATTCTTTACAAACAACATTTATAATGATATTTAATATATTTTTTGGATTTTTTTATTGCCGAATCTGACCGATTTGGCCGATTCCCGATCCGAACTGCCGATTCACCGATCCGAATGGGTTTTTGGGGTGCCTGATCCGTTTTTTAAACCACTGGTTATGACCATAGTTCGTAATAGGCATAACAACAATAAATTGGAGAACAAAAAACAGATTTAACCCCATTTTGTTCCAACAAAATGGACTAGTGTAAAGAAAATTAAGAAACAAAAAAACTTCAGCTATAACAAATAAATCACATTTGTGTAGAACTCCCAACCAATCGGTAGCCATTAACTCCTTTTGTACTTCAATATTATATCATCATCAGCATCATCATCAAAGCCTTTTCCCAACCATAAATCCTAAAAGTACTATTTTATCTTATACAGTCTATTCCCTCAACAAATAAAAAAATAAAAAAAATAAAAACATAACGTTATTAGGTTTTGTTCTAAGGCTTCTTAAACAATGCATAGAAGAGAGAAAATTTTACAGGTTCACAAAAACAAAATGAGGGCATTGGCTTCCTCCACAACAACAAAAAAAAAAAGGGAATATTTTACATGTACAAAAACCATGATGACATGACATTTGCTTGCTGTGCAACAAGACCTATAGCCAAACCATGTTAGACAGGAACAATGTTCAAAAAAACGGATTCGAGCGCTTCGGCGGTTTGGGGGCCTGGCTGCCTAGACGGGACACGGTGCCCTCACCAAAATCGAAACCCCCCACCCCAAACATAAAAAACATGGAAGTTCTTAGGGCATGATTTAAAGCCTCAGGGAGTTTTAGGGCAATTTTAGAGCCCCAAACCCCTTGTGATCATGAAATAGACGAAAACATAGACATTTTAAGACCTTAGTTTCACTTTCACATAAGACTTAACCAATTAAGATATCACATAATCAATTATTTATCTAATAAACTAAAACAAAAAAATCAGAATATCAAAATAAGACATTGTACAAAAAATGAATCAACTATTCATAAAAGAATACAATATATGCTCAATTTCGTCGTCCAAGTGAGAAAAAAATCAATAAATCACCAAAAAAATCAATATTTAACTACAAACATGTAAATATATCATAAAAGAAAAAGAAATAAAAATAAAAGAAAAAATACATGATTCATAAGATAATATGTTGTAGCAAAATTAAATCAAAGCCCTCTTTCAAATATGATAATACGTTAAAAATATCAAAAATCAAATCAATGTCAGTGCAAACCTCGTCTATTGGGTCGCCAAAAGTTCTCAAAATCAACTACAAGAAGCTCCAAATCTACCCATGAACTATTGCCTTCGTTTTGGGAAGAAATTGAAAAAATAAAATATTTATTGATCTTTCGATAAAGCACAAAAGCGTGGTTTCTTGGGGGGTTTTCTCACCCTAAATACCATAGATTTTCTATTGGGGGTTTAGAACACCCCCTAAAACTCTTCCCCCGCGCCCCGCCCCCCCCCCCCCTTTTTAGGGGGAAAAAGTTATATTTTTTTATCCTCACTGAGGGTTTTTTTCTGCCCACCCGTAAGTTGTCACGGGGCGGCCGCCGCCTAGAGACCTAGGCAGCGCTTTGACCACCTAGGTGGGTTGCCTAGAAGCAGGACGCATAATGACCCCGTCCAAACTGGGCTTAGGTATGTTTAAAATCTTTTCACCTAGGTGGTGGGGAGGCTGAATTTTCGAACATTGGACAGGAACATGCCTAGATGATGAAGAAGCTCATCATGCAACCTAGGATGGATGCCAAATCCTAAGAAGACGCTGCATGTTATGTATTGCATAACGAGGAATGCCACATAAGAGTGGGATTTGGCTTATACCATGGAAATCGATTTGACAATACCCATCAACAAAACCTGAAGTGACAAAAGATTCCTCCATTTCACTGGAAAGAGAAAATGTAAAGAAATTTCTTCTAAAATCAACAGAGACATAAAATTGGCGAAATAAAAATTTATTATTTGGGAATATAGAATGAGAAAATGAAAAGAAAATCAAAACATATTATAGGAAACTAAAAGGAATGGATTCAGATCCATGTGTTGAAACCCCAAAATCAACGGAGACATAAAATTGGCGAGATAAACATTTATTATTCTGGAATATAGAATGAGATAATGAAAGGAAAATCAAAAGATATTATCGGAAACTAAAGGGAATGGATTCTAAAACTATTCACAAATCCATGTGTTAAACCCAATAACACAACTGAATAAGATCTTTTCGAAACTTTTTCATACTTGAACAGATAAAGAAGTTTACCAAGAAAATAAATTATATGATGTGATAAATGACTATCCAACACTACAAAAATTTGAAAATTTCGATAGGCCCTTTAAATGCAATTTTGAAATTGTGAGGTTCAGGCATATCTCAATTGTGCGATTGAAGGAGGCTCGAATTGATACTTCATTTCTTATTGAACCCTGAATGGGATTAGTATTGCTGTAGCCAATTAGCTATTGAATAATTTAAATTAGTGACCATATTTCTTTGGAAAGGAAAGATGAGAGGAGAGGCGAATGATGTCAAATTTAGCAGCTAAAATTCTTTTAATTCCAGAACAAGAAAAATTTTGTCAAGGAAGGAACTTGAATTCATTTTGGAATTGTAAAATTTTATGGCAGAGGGCTTCCTCAGAATTCCCTGTCTTATTACAGATGATGAGGTCAAAAGGTACGATTTGTGGAATAAGACTGACATTGTAGAACACTCAAAAAGATCATGAGAAAGGGGATCAAATAGACCTGAGAGTTTTGCTCCTTTCCCTTGCTTCATACCATTCCAATCCAATAGACAAGGATCAAAGACACTATGAGAGGAGCTAGAAGCATTTTTTAGTCATTGATGAAGTCATATTTTTTATTTTTTTTGAAGAAAGGTTAACTTATTGATGAGGTCATATTACAATATCAATGGAGGATTTGTGATGCTTTTCCACCAAATTAGCAATCCTCCTTCCCCATATAAGCCTTTTGTCTCTCTTGGAATAGAAGATCCTGATGTCAGGATTTTGATGGGAAAACAATATGACAGAATTCAACATTTCAAAACACAAAAAAAAAGAAAGAAAGAAAAGAAAAAAAAACAGAGACAGAAAGAACAATACGAAGGAACAATTCTAGCAATGTAAACCTCTACAAGTAATCAGGTTTACAATCAGAATTTCTTGGAGAGTTTGACTTCCAAAAGTGGTCTTCTCCTTTAGATAGAACATTCTTCCAACATTAATTTTGAGCAATTCCCTTAATGCAGTTTGATCAGCAATACAAGACGAGAGGTTTCCTTGGAGGTTGGGAAATGCTTCCGAAGAGACTTCAAGCACAAAGGGGAAGTTCCAAGTATGACATCTGCCAAAACATCAAGAGGCTAACTAGGCAAAGTTTTTATCAATAGAGCGGAGATCCAAAACACTCCTTTTGATGCACAGGTACATGGACGATCTCCATGTGAATTTCACCAAGAGGCTTCCGAAGAGACTTCAAGCACAAAGGGGAAGTTCCAAGTATGACATCTGCCAAAACATCAAGAGGCTAACTAGGCAAAGTTTTTATCAATAGAGCGGAGATCCAAAACACTCCTTTTGATGCACAGGTACATGGACGATCTCCATGTGAATTTCACCAAGAGGCTAACCAGGCAAGTTTTTATCAACAGAACGGAGAACCAAAACACTCCTTTTGATGCACACGTACATGGCTGATCTCCATGTGGATTTCATTTTTCTTGCTCTGTGATCTTTTCTATTTTTAACAGATAAGAAACTATTGTCCATCAAAAGAAGAATTTCTTTTGAAGGAGAAATTCTTTAACATCTTGGTCCTTTTAGAGAAAACTCAAGAATATCTATCTCTCTTTGAGAATCAAAAACTATTAATTAATCCACCGGCAACGAAACTTAACATACAAAAATTTTAAAAGATATTTATCAGAGCATAATTCTGATTTAAAATTACAAATATGTGCAGAATATTGATTTCACTCCAAAGGGATCGCTTGAACATGAACGATACCGTCCAATAGTCACTTGGTGAATGTTATGTTAATTGTATAGGCTGAAAAGAATCTAAGCACCAGATCTAACCAATTCACATTGCTTTCAAATTGCAACAAATACATTCAAGGATATTAGCTAATGTTCAAAATCAGTTCCTTGACAGTCAAAGAGCATCATAGGGTAGTGAGTATAATATATCAAAAATCATCATTATCATCCAAGATTATCCCAATTATTTGGGGTCGGCCACATGAATCATGTTCCTCCATTTTTTACTATCAAGGGCCACAATATATCAAAATTCACTTAGGAAAATCCAGGTCGAGAAAAAGTGAAACCCTTTCTCATGAAAAACTAAATAATGAAGGTCTTTTTTAAATTAGATTTAAGCTCATAAGAAAGTTCCCAAATCTGGCTAAACTTGTGAACAAGGGAAATTTCTAGGTATCATCTTGCAAGCACATGTCCATTCCGATCAATGCAATCTAAGTAAATAGCACAAAACATTATGTATAGCCAACAATATATGTTAGGGCATGGAGCTAGACTATGTTCATCACATAGGGATCAGTAATAGGTAAAAAACAATGGAGCAAATTAGAGAAACTTATCATTTTTAAACAGGAAGTTAGAGAAATACCAGTTTCTCTAGATACTGTAAATGTCATTGAAATTAAAAAAGAAAAAAGCAAGAACAAAGTAAGAATAATAATGTAAAATCATTGATTAAAATGCAGACAAGAAGGAACCACCATCATAAGATTCATCAGAACATCTTTCTAAACTTCTTTTTTTTTTTGACAAATCTTTCTCATGCCATGACAAACTCTAGACATGACCAACTCACACGGTCAACTCATTTCTTCATATCATCTGGGAATACACAAATTCAAGCTGAATGTAATAAGAAGGTAAAATAGCAAAATTATCCACATTTATTAGGAGAAGATATTTAGCATTAGAGAATACTTACTTACAGGGAGATTCAATTTGCCCCGGAACACAAAATTATACAAAAGAAATTGTGGCGTGATTGTTAGAGATCATTAAACAAGAATCCCTAAATTTGCCCTTACTGTTTAGGTCATCAAAAGAAGTATATAAAAAATAAAGGAGAAGTAAAAAGGACCACTCACAGTAGAGAAGGAAGTGGAGGTTCGACTGTCCGTTTCAGCGGGGGCTTTTCTCTCTTTTAGATGATATAAGGACTCGTATACTGCGACCGTAGACCGGTTTAAGACGCCTAACCCGTAAACCGGCCGTTTCAGCCGCCCTAAAATATGAAAACATTAAAAAAATAAAAAAAAATCTATGAAAATATGACAAACATATAAAGAGATATTAAAACAAAACACATTCAAATGAAGTTGAAAATTAATGAAAAAAATGGATTTTAACCTATTTTATATTTTTTAATAGCTATTTTTTAATTTTTTTAAAAAAAATAGAAAAATATAAAAGTGAGTATTAATGACCAAAACAATTTTTAATCTTTACCATAATGTAAAGAATATTTAAAAATGTATTACAAATCAAAATCTTTAGTTTTGACAATTTATATACAATTTTTTTATTTTTTATTTTAAATACCGATTGATCACCCAAACCGCCCAAAACCGAAACTAGCCACCGCCGATTGATCACCCAAACCACCCAAAACCGAAACTAGCCACCGCCCGGTTTTGATCTAACCGGGCAGTTAGCGGTTAGAGCAGATGATTTTATAAACAATGATGTAGACTGCGGGGGTTTGGAACAAGGACAATTTCCTACATTCGTCCAATGTGAAATTCGGCAGCTTCAAATTTGTCATAAAATTCAAAAAATTTCTTTTGAACTTTGAGCATAATAGTAAAGTAAATTCAACAACCAATTTTACGTCCAATTGATTACGATTAATTGTGACCTCTTATATACTAGATATAAATAATACACATTTCCAAAATATAATATCAATTTTACATCCAATTGATTATGATTAATTGTGACCTCTTATATACTAGATATAACTAGTACACGTTTCCATAATATAATATCATTGGCTTGTTATGGCACAAGGGAGATATTGCCTCAATCCGAAAAGTTAGGGGTTTGTTTTTGGGTTAGCGGGGAGAGGGCCTCAAACTTTTGGTAGGAATTGAGGCTAGGGGTATAGTGTTGTAAATTATTAAACACTAACCAATTAAACCTGGGCACTTTTGTGGTAAATTAGTGGGGATGTGGGCCCCTACCCTACCCTTCGTTGATAATGGAGTCAAAGACCTCACTATGGGGCTAGATAATATAACCGCCAAGGCCCCAAGCCATTCACAGAGTTACGGTTTTCCCATACTCACTATAATCCTCGTCTGTGGATTGTAATGCACCGCTATGATAAATGAGTGTGTTGCCTTGCAAATGACAATACATAAAAATATGAGGTTTTGTATAAGGTGCCCACCTCATCATCTCAATTTTGTCAAAAGATGTAATTTCGGTGGTAGAAACCTTATGATGGCTTAAAAATCCATGTTTAACAATAATTATGAAATTTAAAATTCTAAAATGCAGATCGATCAAATCTATAAACTAGATACATTATGCGCAGATATGGCTCAATCCAAAAGTCGATTAGAGATTGAGTAGTGAACAGAATGGGGCTAGAGTCCATAGAGTAACCATTAATGGTGGGAACACATTCTAGGCCTTTTGTTGCCTCAAGAGGTCGAGATTCGGTGTGGTAAAAACAAGTTGTTCGAATGGTTAGTTGGATTATTAGATAATAAATAATTTATCTTCAAGTACTTATCTCAAAAGATTCATACCGTAGATGAGTCTAGTGATAGACTTACATGAGAAGAGGCTGAGCTATAATCTTAATGATGCTTATAACTGGTACAGTTTGAATGTTTTACATGCAAAGCCCTCTTGATAGATTCATCTTTATGAGTATGGAAGTGAGTATGATAGGCCATAAGGGGGTTTGGGTTCCAAGGTATTGGTTTTTAGAGCTCTAGGTAGCCCTAGGGTTCATGGAAGCTAGTCTATTATACTTCGTTTCTTGAAATTTCCTCAGCTGGGAATGAGGTTTCTACATAACCGTGTCTAAAATACTACATATGGGCTCATTCAAACTTGTCCTATTAATAATATCTATTATCCTTGTCCTATTAGTAATATCTATTATCTTTAATGATGATGTGGTATATTAGATTTGGTGCTATTCAAAATCACCCACTTAAGGAAATCTCATATTATTTGGGATTGAGTTATTCCCGTCGGACTGAGATATTCTCATATTAGGTGGGATTGAGATATTCACATATTAAGTAGGATTGAGATTTTTATTGATAAGTTTCCTAAAGGAAATAGAAATCCAAAAGGATTAGGACTCTTGGATATATCTTTTGGTTTTGAGATATATGTAAAGAAGCTTTTTATTTTGTATGGATTCCTAATCTTATACATATGAGATAAAAGTGCAGAGAATTTGTCTACCTTATTTGCGTCACTATATGATAATGGTGGTTCCTCTAGAGAGAGGGGTAGAGCCTCTTGTGTATAAGAAGTAAGATTTTCTCTTAAAAAGAAGATAACTTCCTATATAGAGAAACTTTGTTATGGTACCCCACAAGATTGAGAGGCTGGTTTCTTATAAAGAAACGGTTCCCATAGAGATTTCGGGGTTTTTTCCCTTTAAATTAAAGAGAATGTCAGTTTCTCGGTAATGGTTGCCGAAAAGGAAAAAAGAGTAATTTGTCGACTTAGTTTTGTCACGAGTTAGAGAGGTAACTCTCTGTTCCAAAATCTTTGATGTAACTTTCATTGGTATAGTGGATTTCAGTTTGATGTGCCATGTAAATCTTTGTATTATTATAGTATATATTTTATAATTTATTTCTCGTACTTTATTTGCCAAAAATCAACCCATCGGATTTATAGCTTCTTCACATAACAGGAGCATACTGCATGAGATAAGTATCTCATCATAGGCTCTCTGAGTTGTTAAGATAGCAAGTAATAATGTGAGTCTCATGTTTTTGGTAGTCATTTAACACTCTTTTTAGTCCTTACTATGGATGTGCTTAATGATTTATAATTGATGGGACATGATGACATCAGTGAGATAATTAAAAAATAAATCTTTCAGGTTAAATATTATTTCTTAAAATCTAAGTTTTTTCTTAATGAATTGTATAAATCGAGAGACAGATGTCGATGTAGTTGAATAACAAGGTAGAATAATAAACATATGATTTTGAAATATCCAATAAATACAAGATTAATTAAGTTTTGTGAAAATTGTGTAACAATGAGTCTTCTCCGACATTTCTTTTTCTTTTTTGAAATATACCAAATCATACAAGATTACAAGATTTACCAGAAGAATTGGCCCCGTCGTGACTGGGCCAAAGAAGGGTCACAGAACCCAAGAGGGAAAGAAATGGCAATGACGTAATAAGGGGAAATTATTAAAATTATTTTAATTATTCTTTTGTTTAGGGAGTGCGCAAGGATAATTAGCAGGACGACTTTAGAGTTTATATTGCGTTTATCTTGTATCGGGTTAGTTTGAGGGATATAATTAGGATAAGGGTAAATTTAGAAGAGAGCTTATCTTTATCTAGAATAACCAACTTGGGAGGTTTCTTTTGGGTAATACATGAGAGGGAAAATATGGCTATCTAGAATCCCATGAATATGAGAGAGAGAAAACAGGGATAGGTGTCGAGAGAAGTTTTTTATTAGTTATCTTATTTCAATCTATTTAAAGGGACATCCCCTTTCATTGTAAATCAGTCTATAAATTGAATAAAAATTGGTCTCTTGAAAAAGAGATTGTTTTGGGAGTGGATTCTCTTGCAGACCTTTGAGAGAGGGTATTTTTCTCTTAACCTTCCTTCTTTATATTGTCAATTTTCTGGTTTTATTCTCTCCCTGCATCAATTGGTATCAGAGCCAAGTTCCGATGGCTTCACAAGAGATACCCCTCAATGGATTAAAAGTATTGATTGGGTTAGTTCAAGCCCTAGTAGAGAGAGTAAACCAATTCATGCATGTAGCTGCGAAAGTCGATGAGCTTGCGCAAAAGTTCGCTTAGCTTCAGGATGGAAGGAATTCGGAGACCGGCGTTGGAACTCAAGGCAACAGAAATGAAAGAGGTATGCATATTGGTCCTAACCAACCTTGAGTAGCCCCGGCCAATAACGAATTCAATGAACGAATTCTTAAATTGTTGGAAAGAGAAAGAGAACCTGGAATAAAATTTGATATTCCAAAGTTCCATGGTCGATTGCATGCAGATTATTTTCTTGATTGGCTAAGTAAAGTAGAGAAAGTGTTTGAGTACAAAGATATTGCAGATTACAAAAAAGTAAAATTAGTAGCCACAAATTTTCTGGCCATGCATTGGTTTGGTGGGATGATTTGCAACAGGATCGTCTTTAACAAGGCAAGGAAAAGATTACTTCGTGGAAAAAGATGAAGACGAAGATGCGCCAAAAAATTTTACCAGTAAATTATGCCCGAACTTTGTACCAAAGGTGTCAAAACCTCAAGCAAGGTGAAAAGTCGGTAAAGGACTATACTAAAGAGTTCTGTATTTTGACATCTAGGCCAAATTTACAAAAGTATGAAGATCAAGAAATAAGTCGTTACTTGAATGGGCTAAATAAAGGCATTCAGAATGAATTGACCTTCAAAGATGTCTATAAGATGTCTGATGCCTATACTTTGGCCCTTAAAACAGAAGAAATAGTCAATTTGGGCCTTGGGAGAAATAGCTCAGTGACAAGAGGCTCTACTTCAATACAGATGCAGCAAGTTTTAACCTTTAGAAGACTATAGGGCGTGGAAACCAAACCTCTCAGAATTTTCCAGCTAGGCCAAACCCTAATGGGGAGAGGTGGTGTTGGGAGTGAGTTGGGAGCACCTAAAACACTTCATGATAATACACGAATAGTGTGTTTCAAGTGCCAACAGCCTGGACATATGACATTCAATTGCCCCTCACGTCAACCCCTTGTCAAAGTTAATTTGGCTGAAGAAAGTTATGAAGAAGAAGTTGATGAAGGATACACCTATAAAGGCCAAGGAGCTATTGGGACGAGCCAGTCTTATGAAAGGATTGGGCCTTTCAAAGGTGAAGTTA